AGACTCCCGCAGTGGTCTTGTACTAGCAATTTAAGACAATGTCTGACAATTTCGTCGCACAAAAGAGATTGTTTTGATTATCTATCTACTGAGCTCTGTCCTTGTTAATACAAAAAACACACCTACTCGTTGTAAAGCAATTTCGAACCAAAACGCCGTACTAATTATGTTTACAAAACAGTGCAATCCGCCCGTCATAACTAAATGATAACCTGTCACTTGACAATCAAATTTTGACAATGAAAATATTTAAATATATCTTTAAAGAAAGGCAGTTCTCCCAATGTTAATTTTTTTGTCAAAATTATGTAAGAAAAAATTTTAAGCCCAGTCATACACAAGGACATACTATTCGGCAGCTCTGCAGGAATAAGCCACCAAGTTCCTGTTGACCGTCACAATTTTACAATTGGCTGGACTTCAACTGGAAGATATCCATGATTTTTAAGGGAAAATACCACGTGAAGAACCCCCCTGAAGTAGTCAGGGAAAATAAATAAATCTTTAGGCCACTAATTTCATCTCGTGTAAAGGTTTTTAATTGGAATTGGACTGTTGCCGAAGGTTTCTTTTGTTGATTGTATGCTGGAAAAATTTTGAAATGACGACAAGGCTTAGTTCATATGTAAAACACTGAATGGAAACTGTCAAGGCCCTCCCCAACAATGCTTTTTAATCTACATGAAAATCAGCTCATTCAAATCCTAAGAAAACAGAAAATAGGGCATTCACTTGTCAATATATCAGCTAGTCACTGTAGAAACCGTCATCAAATCTATTTTTTTTTTTCATTTTTAAAGATGAACTATTTGCAATGAGGATTTATACCGGTTGGGTGGCTCATGTACGGTTATTACGCAACAATAGTGGTAAGCTGCGCATGTAATCGACGCAAGTTATTCGGCTTTAATACAGAAAAATTAAAATATGCATAACAGTTAAAACCCCTTTACTTTTTCACTACCGACCCCACCAGGACAATAATTTTAACCCTCTCGGGCCCTCTCGTAAGAAGTAACTCGTGCCAATGTTTTATTAAGTACAACTTATGTCTCATTAGCAACGAGCAAAGTAAATCTAGCGGGTAAGTCCAGTAATTTGGAAGAGTTTCCACACCACTAGGACAATTTTTGTAATCCCCTCAGGCTCTCTCGGAGGAGTGAAATTTCTTGTTTGTAGGAAACTTTTAAAAAGTGATGATTCAGATGGCTGCTTAAGTTTGGAAAACATTTGGACCGCTAAAGCATACATCATCCTCGCAATGTTTTCATCATCATGACAAAGACGGTTGCTTAGTGAACAAATAGCGTGCAAAGCGTATGAAAATTCGAAGTGATAGTTTTGGTCACGGCAACTTTCGTGAGCCCTTAGTTAGATTATTTCACATCAGTGGTAGTCATGAATTTTATTGAACCATTCGACGTGTTCATTCTAAAGACAAATATGTAGTTAAAACGGCTTTGCATTTCAAACTTTATGTTCACTGAATTCAATAATATATACATAAGGAATTTTCTCTCTAACAGAAGTTACAACTAACAGAGCAATTCCGTGTTCCTTTTGGTTAAACAACGCTTCTGCAAACTTGCAAATTTGTAGCTGTTACCATATGCACATCTGATAGAAAGTGATCATTACGTTTTCATTAGAATTTTGTTGATTGTTGACTATGGTTTTCTCTCACGAAAGAAAACATCAGTGTTTGTCGCGATGAAAATAAAGGAGCATTGTTCACTGAAACTTCTGCCAAATTTATGATTTATAACTGCTCTCTCAACTGTTAATGTACTCAGGAAAATGTCACTTTTTATACTGCCACCTGTTAACATGTTTTAAAGTGATATTTCACAATTTCGTACTGCGCGTGCATGTATTATATTTTTTAAATGTTCAGAGACCTGCAGAATTTGGAAGCAAAAAAGAAAAAAATCCCACGGCGAGCGTTCAATACATCGTCCAATCTAAAACACGAGAATAGATGCAATCTCAATATATATATTTTTTGTAATACTGACCTCTTAACCGTATACAAAATAAATATGATTTCAGAAGCACAGCAGTTGTTTTTAAACGCGAAGAACAGAATATTGTTGCTATGCTCGTTTCTATCTTTTCTAGAAAGAAGGTTATCTTTTCATGATTTTTATCGCTGCCAATCAACATATCGTTAATCAACTAAACATTTGTCATGAAGGTACGAAAACTGAAACGGATGGAAAAAAGTGGCCTACCTCGCTAAACACTCTTGTAGATGATTTATGCTCTCAACTCACAGTTGGTGCATCTGAACAACATGACGCGTAGGGCAGCAAGATCATTATTACAGCGCGATTTAATTATTTAAAAGTTGATATCGTCAACAGCCTGAGAATTATTGCAGTGCGATTTAATTATTTAAAAGTTGATATCGTTAGCAGAATTGGAATTAGCCGAGTGGTCACGCATTAGCAAGTTTACATAAGATACAATTCTAGCAAGTTGGCGAAATGGATCCCTATGTGTTAAGTCTAAAATCAACCTTGAGGAAATGAATTTCTTTTACGAATTCTATTTATTAACAATTTCCCGACCGTGTTAATTACGAAATTACTCTTCTTGTGCTTTTACAGTTAAAAAAAGTCTCTTCCCCTTCATTTTAATTACTGAACAGTTTTTCAAGAACTAATATTCGTTACGTGCTTTTTTCGAGGAAAAACTCTAATTGCATAAAATTGTTAACGAATTAATTTTAATTGCGGTAGGCGTCCGCTCCGTTCGATAAACATAGCAAACATATCACAACAACGGCCACTTATTTACAGTGAAATTGATGGAGAAATAACTGTCACTGTACTTTCACAATTATATATTATTTATAATATGTGCTCATGAACACACAAATCGTACAGAATTTACTCGTTATCCTTCCACTAAATTATGTTTGGAATCAAACAAGCGAAAAGCTGAGCACAGCTCCCAAGGATAAATTAAAAGCTTCTTGAAAAACACAATTTGCGGCTTTGTGGCTGATATGCACCCTTTAGGCAAAAAGAATCTTAATTATAATGGAGCCATTGAAAACCTGCCCCAAATTAGTGCCCTGAGAATCCGTTAAGCATTTCAACAGTTTTGAGAGAGTTTGTCAAACATGCAAATCTGTATTCAATACTCATGCTGTAAAAAGTCTTGAAAGCATCATAATCTTGTCAGAGCTCGTACGAGAACAAGTATGCTTTTTGGAACACAATCAAAACCTGATCAATTTTAAATTTCTTTAGCAACTTCCGAAGCGCAAATAATGATACTCCTAACGTTTCGTATCTAGAGCAAAACTAGTTTTTTTTAGAGCATGGCCACTAGTTTCTAAACGTGGTCCAGGACTAAGGAATGAATGTGGGTAGATGCTAGAGTTGCGATCAAAAAATTGCCAAAAAGTCTAATCAGCAGTACAACCATTCTATCCTCCATAACACTGAAAACATTTTCAGCTGCTCCTATGGACAGCTTTTTTTTCCCCAGATCATTTCAAATAACTATCGAGTTATACAGTAACAACGTTGCCTTACTTGTTTTCGCCGCAGCCACCGCCAGCGTTCAGTTGACGTGTTTTTCAAAGATGCATCCCGATGCCTTTCCTTTGAGAGCTACCTGCCGGCGAGGCAAACATTTACTTTCTCAGTTTAATAGAATTAGTGTTGAGCGTTAACCATAAGTAGAACTAAACGATTAAACAAGGGAATTGACACAAACTCGACGAGAAAGTTCCATATTCCTGACAGTTGACCCTTGGATACAACTTCTTGTTTTTATGGAGACGGACCGCCCCCAGAAAAATTTCACTTTGTTAAATAAATTGTTCAATTTGTAAGTTTGGGATTTTAACCTTTGAAATCAATAAATTCTCAATGATCGTTTTTAAATTTGCGTTTTTAATTTAGGGTTCGTCCACAAAAAGTTGGCATAAACCAAGTGTAGCGGACATTTTGAACGGATTTGACAAAGCTTGTGAGTTTTTCCACGCAGACGAACAACATTTGAAACAATAGAATTACCTGAATTATACAACAAACGAGCAACGAAATTTTATCGAGCCAAATTTGCATAATTGAATCGTCAAAACAAAAGGACTTTCGGCAGATCTAACCATAGATAAAAATAATCACATAGACTTTTAAGAGGCAACCATTGACAAGCTAAAAAGCCCTCACTTAAACCAATTTGGTTCTAAGGCAGATATATGGGATAAAAATGACATTGAAAAATATTCCATTTCGAGTTGAGAGTCACAATAAAACAGCACTTAGTTCCCTGTCAGAATGTTTGTTCGTTGTCTGAATTGTTTTATTTCTGAAGAGTTTTTTTTGTTACCTCATAGAATTCGAATGATATGAAGTAATCGGTACCATACAATCTAGGTCCATGGTGCAAACGAAGTATTCACCAGAGCCTTGTTGCGATCAAGTTTATTCCGTAGAAAGAAAAAAAATGACTTCTGTTACCGCGGTCACTTACGCTTAACTAACCAATCCTGTTACGGGGAACGAGCGATGAATTCCGTTTATCTTCTTTGTGATCTTAACTTGCTCTGGTCCTCAACTCTGAGTGATCACCACAATTGAATTAAGTGGGAATTGTTGTTTGTTTCCTCAAAAGCGATAGGTGAATTTTGTAGACAAAAGGAACTGTGTAAGAAACTTGAATAGCAGTAACGTCGTCGAAATAGACACCCGAAGTTTGTAAAACGGTCCAGCGCCGCAGCTTGAATTGTATTTTACTGTACTTAGATTCTGTTTTAGATTAGTTTGATCAGATTATTTCGACTCTCAAAAAGGCTGAGTAATCCCAAAGGTTGACACTAAGAAACTGTTCCCATGATGCTTGGTTGTGTCTAAAAGGGAGTTGACCTTGCACAGTAGTTGAGCGTTGAAATAACATGCCAGGAGAAGACAGTCTCTACTGTCACGCGAAGTTGCTGAGAGAGAAGAGGGATCTATTGATGATGATTAACAGTTGTAACTAGCAAATTTAAAAGCTATTGTTTATTTACTCGTTTGTTAAAAACGCCTGCGTTTATTGCTCAACGAGTGAAATTTACGATTGTCAATTACTGTAATTATGATATTCATGACTGATTGGAGTTCCAGTTTCTGACTCCAGCTTTGATTCCAGCTTCTTGATTGTCAACTGAAAGCCCCTAAGTCGATCTAAAACCCCACTTCCTTCAAAGCTAGTAGTTAGAAAACTGAACATTAGGAAATGAGACAAATAAATACAAAACACCATATTACTAAGTTCAAAATTGGTGTAAATAACCCATACAGTGAGCCATATTGAATAAAAATGATTAAATATGCGAAACTATTATTATGGTTTCTACTCTTAGCCGAAGCCAGGATTTCAAGTAATAATTTGTAAACGACTGTTACAAAACCTAACCAGTCAACATGGCGTTGCTTGTATGCTCCACTAATCAAAGAAAAATCTGGTGCTCCAGTTCACTACTTTGGGTGATTTTCCTTAGATTTTTTTCCAGGGTGAATTGTGTCTGCGGACATACTATACAGAGTTACTACTGCAAAAGTGATCAGCATTCTGAATTAATTTCAGCAAATTTCTATAAAAACTATTTCACTGAAATTTACGGTATATTTCATTTCGAAAATTCCGGCTGTTACAATATAAATGTTCCAGTATTGAACTACGAGACAGAAAGAGTGATACTCTGGAATTCCACCTTTCCCCACAGCAAGGGAAGGACATACCCGTGTTCTCGAGGAATACGTCTCTGTCAGGGTTATTCATTCACTGGCTATGCCCGACATTGACCATTAGAAACCCTTTAACGTAGAAATAAAAGTATAAATACGTTAACTGGCGTTTCTAAAGTAGCCCAGAGGCCGAAAATCGTCTCGTGTTAAGTTAAAGTGCATGCTATAAGTATTCTGAACATAATGCTAGATAAACATAGCCGCGCCGTTGTGCTGGTTCACAAGCTGATATGTCTGACCATTAGCAGTGATAACTCTGTTTAAAGGACCATTTTTGTTCCCTTCCGTTCTTTCTGTTTCTTTCTCTTCAAGCATGAACTTTCTTCTGGCACGACTGAGCTTTCTCCTTTTCTTGTTCTTCGTTGGCTTGCCGTTGTGAAGTGGTTGCAATTCCGAAGAATTCAGGTCAGTGTCAACATCAGCGTCCAGTATCACCGTGGGAAGCTCGGGTGTTCCCATTCCGATAACTCGGAAGTAGCGTAACAATGCCACTCCAGGGATAAATATTATTGACACGAGAGTGATCATTATGGCCAGGAATTTCGCCCATGGAGGATACGTAGTCCAAACAACTTTACCCTACAAAAAAAAAACAAACAAATAAAAAACAAAAAAAACACTTCAGCATAATGAAGTTTCAAACTTTAGAAATTTGAATGAAAAGATCATCAGTGACAGTGTAGAAAACTCACACCACTTCCTAAACCCATCGTGAAACCTAACTATTGTGACCAAGGTCTTTCGCGATCTTTTAAGGCCGTGTACTTACTTTCGCTTTGAGATCTGTGACCCCTTGTGGGTCTGACGGGCATTTGTCATTACTTTGGTGAGGGTCATACGAAAAATAATCCAAGTATGCTTTAAGATATGTTTCATTCCTTTGGTAATAGGGCTTGTAACGTTGGAAATGACTAAGTTTATAAGGTAAGACTAGTACCTTACTGGCGTCCCAGACTGAGTACTGCGGTGTAGTCTCCGACATGCTCTTGATGCTCATGGAAAGCACAAGGAAAATGGTGACCGGAGAGATGATTTTCCAACACCATTTCCAAATAAAACGTGGAGGTTTATTCGTCATGTACTTTATGTCATCACAAAATCTAGAGACAACGTATAAAGTAAAAAAATTCCTCAGTTCGGATAGTGTGATCGGACAGTCAGGCTGTAATCAGATACCTGTAATCAGACAGTTGAAGCAGCCAATCATACCAAGTCCACCAAACACAGAATCGATAACAATTTCCATAGCAACAACCAATTACGCAACAGAACTGGGGAATTTCAAAATTTGGGGTATTTTATTGGTTTAGAAAATATCTCTAGCGGATATATTTTTCCCAATAAATTGTTTTGTTCTTCTCGGAAATTGTAATGGTTATGATCAATTGGAAGCAGGACGTCATGTCGTCCATTTTGGTCCGTAATCATAAGAGTGATAAAAAAATCGATGACCGCGAAGCGGAATTCCGATTGGTCAAAAACTCCATTCGGACTCCACTCAGTCCAATTACCATTATAAATCCTGTTTATATTACGAACAAGCATTCAGTCATTAGACTTAACGTCTCAAAGTAAATGACTGGTAGATTGATACTTGCTAAAGCAAGAACATTTTTCTGCTTTACCTGTCAATACCGTAGATGTAGCAAATAGCGATGCATTCCACTAAGGCGATAATCAGTAAAGGAATACCAGAACAATAAGCGACGATAAGTTGAACCCAGTACTCTCCTGAATACTGAACCAAAGGCAGACCCATCAGACAGGACACCAGACAAAGAATTCCTTAAGGTAAAAAAAGGAAAAAAATACATAATCCTACTAGAAATCAAGTGACACTTTCGCCCGAGGGCAATACCCAACTCTTTCGGCTGATACTCTTACCAGACGGAAACTTAACGAGAGAAGTCAAGACTAGTGCAGTGGACTAAATATCTTCACAGCGTGGTGCGAAACAGTTTCAAAAATTTTTCACGAATCAACTTCTCCCACCTCATCCTGTCTTGTGTATGAACAAATGCAAATACGAATAGAAATCGAAACAGAGATCGCAATTTATCTTCTATGCTTGTTCGATCGCTTAATTTACCTGATATATATTCCTTCTTCAGTTTCGGAAATAATTTCATATCAACCACAGGTGTGACCACGCCTTCTAACATTCCAAACTCCGTATCAAGTCCAACCGTAATCAGCATGAGGAAGAACATGACCGCCCAGAGTTGCGCGAAAGGCATCTTGTTGATCGCATCTGTGAATACTATAAAGGCTAATCCTTGGCCAGATGGGATCTAAAAAAGTAAAATAGAATCTTTTAATCGGAATAGCGTAAATCGCAACCGAAAGACCACGCTATTATCAAGCTCCCACAAAATAGGTTAATAATAGACACCCAGAATAAGACTATCGAGAAAATTTAGCATGGGGCCCATATTGGACCGTAGGTGATTCTAGTTTGGCGAAACTAGTGGAGGCCAAGTTTTTCAAGTGTCTATGTAGGGACTTGAAAAACTTGCTCCAATTCCACAAGAATGGTAGCTCTATATCCTGTATAACAATAGATATTGGATGAATATATATTGGATGAGGTTTAAGCGCAAGGCTCGTGGTGAATTTTAAAAGCAATAAGCGAAATACAATAGGGAAAAATTTCGAAATAGGGAAATATAAACACTTTCATGTATTTACAAGTAAACGTTGAACATGTATGGCCTATTTAAGGTGTACCTCCACTGCCCACCCGTCGGGGAATGTGCCATACCGTGAATACAGTTAAAACTGTCCTTGTAAGATGAAAATAAGGCATACGCTTTCTTTGGTCAACAACTAACCGTTAAAAACTTTGATTTGACGCACGTAATAAGCGTTTCATTGAAGAAAATCGAGGCTCTTTGAAGACGTTCGTTGTATGTTGCTTGGTCCAGCGTTTCCGCACCGCTGACACCTGTACCATTCAACAGGCGCATAGCCTGTTTAGCTTGATCTTCTAGACAATGCTCCATTCTGTCTTCAGCCTGAAAAATATAGTACAGACTTGATGAAACCTCAATTCTCAATAGTGATGGGAATGTGATTTTTCCTTACATTTTTGTTATATCCGCAAACAAACAGGTAATGAGAACAGAGATGCTTATCTGCTAGAAGAGTAAGATTTAACAAAGGAACAGAGTAAAATAGGGCTGAAAAGCTCCTGGAATATTCAAATTGTGCCCTTCAGAGATGGTCGGCTCGTCGTCGTGGCAAAGGCGGGTTCGCGCTCCTCTCGTAAGAGTCATTGTGTTTTATTGGTCAGTAAAACATTTTATTGGCGCAATGTCTCCTTTCCAACAGGGAAGAGAGTGACTGGCATCTACTTTCCTCTTGCTGTATCACCCCGGCCTTAGTCAAACATTAAGGCCACGAGAAGAAAGAAAATGATCACCAGCTAAACAAGCCTTGATTGTTGAACAAATTCACCTGCTTAGCACCTTAGGAAATGTATCGAGAACAGTATGGAGAATATGCATACTGATGCATGAGCGTAAAGGGTAATAAAAATATGCACCAATACCGCGAAACTAAATATTAAAAATCGCTAAAAATACCTGAAAACCAATAAAGCAAAAGACAACAACACTGGCGTAAATGGACGTTGCACAGTTGATAAGGCAAACTGTGATTGCGTCTCTTGTCGAATCGTTCTTGATCGGCATGTAACTGGAAAAGGCTATCAAGGATCCATAAGCCACACCCAGCGAGTAAAAGATCTGTACTGCGGCATCCAACCACACCAGAGGATCTTTTAGCCGGTCAAACTAGTGAAAAAAATGCAGAAGAAACCTCAAACTAGTGTTTGAGTAATATGCCATTTACCTTACTGACTGACTCACTGATTATTTGACTATAATACACTGACTAAAGGAAGGGGATTACTTTCTAAAAAAAAAAGGTGGTGCTGCATTGATGTGGCGTGTTACAAGATAATTTGGATTTATCAATTGAGTTGATGATGGAAATTGGTCACTGTAAAGAGTTTCTAAGCTGACGTTTCGAGCGTGAGCCCTTTGCAGATTGATCAATTGGCTAAGTGATGTACTGACTAAGAGTTTGGTTTTTTTATGGACGGACTTTTTTCTAGTTACCTACTGATGTAACTGACTGATTAACTGGTGGACTGACTGACTGACAGACTGGGTGACTCTGACTGACTGGTTCAACTGAGTTGATAACGTAAATTGGCCATCGTAAAGAGTTTCAAAGCTGACATTTCGAGCGTTAGCCCTTCGACAGATTTGCTAACCTCCGGAATAAAAAGTAAGGCTAATCCTTCTTGATATCCCTTGAGATGAACTCCGCGGAAGAAAAATATTATCAACAGGATCAGGGGCAAGGTGGCAGTCATGTATACAATCTGCAATAAAGACAAAAGAGAAACATACTGGGTTGGAAATCCTTGATCTTGGAGGAACTGAAGAGACGTCATTGCGATCTCAAGTCTAACGTTATTACTGAAAAGTGAATTCCTTATCTGACGAGGAGTTGAATCAAGAAATCATTTAGGTAAGTTTGTTAGTCTTCTCATTAAATCAAGTATTACGCACATCCCAAAGATGCCTCGAACTCAATTTTTGTGAAACACATCGTCAGTTCTAAAATCGCAATTTTAACCTAAACACTTTGCACCAATACGATATCCCGTTAGATTACAAGAATATCCTCTCCAGCTATGCCTATCAGTGCGCTGCATTGTATAGAAATCTTGGTTTTCATTGCAACATTATATTCGACATTGAAATTAACTAAGGCTCTATTTACCTTTCCAGTAATTTTGATTCCCTTCATCATACATAGCCAAATCACCAACCAAATTCCAACTAGACATGCGCAAAGCTTCCAATTCATACCGCCGCCTTCCTCAATGCTTGAAGACATTCCCAATGTAGTTCGATACCAAAAATACTCAGTTGGTGAGGTTATTTTACACTCGTGCACAGGCTCCATCGTCGTGACATTACCGACAGTCACTGGTTCGAGTGGACATGATGTCCAAGGTAAAGGATTTTGAAACGACTTGAAGAAGTAAAAAACGCACCATGCAATGATGACATTGTAATAGAGTGATACTAAAAAGCATACTACTATAGAGGCCAGCCCTAGTCCCCCAAGGTAGGGCGAGATTTCGTTCCATACTCCTATCGAGCCTTTCCGCATCCGCTGACCAATGCAGAGTTCCAAGTAATACAATGGTATGCCCTCTAAGGCTAGCATGATTCCATATGGAATAAGGAAAGACGCTGAGGAGAAATGAAAAGGTATAGATAACGATGGACGCAAAAACTGCTTCTTCAGGTTATGGTAAAATTAAAAGCATAACACTATAACGGACTAAAACATGATTACCAAAGTATTACTAAAAAATCAGATCACAAATTCAATTCTCAAAACTCTGATAAAAGACACCGTACCCTATTTTCATCGTGAAACCTTTCAGTCGCTGGTGGACGCGACTCTGTTCTTTAGAAAACCATCATCGTGACTTTTGATTGTCTCTAATGAATACTTTTATAAATAAGAAGATAAAACAGTTTCTATGAATACTTCTTCGATCAGTTTATCTCCTTACAATTTGAACGTCCGCGACCTCTTCAATCTTAGATTTTTTTGCATTAAATCTGTATTTACACTGACTTTACAAAAATCATAGGTCTACCAGTTGGGTTGCATATTTGACAACTAAAAGATATTTTCTACGCCAATTCAAGACCTAGAGGTCACAAGGTATGAGAAAAAAATCGATCATATGAAACAAATTCTAGACCTAGACTCTTGGAAAATATTGATTTTTTTTTAGATAAAATGTCTCACCTCCACCATTCTTTTGGCATAAGTAAGGAAACCTCCAAACATTCCCAAGTCCGACCGTATAACCAATCAACATCAAGATGAACTCAGTCCTATTTTTCCATCCGTCTCTATCTTCCGGCGTTCTCCCGTGACGATGATTGCAATGATGTTGCTCCTGAGTAAAGCTTCTCTTGAATTCTGTTATCTGATTGGTCAATTTTCGCAGTGAATTGGTTAACACTTCTCTTGAGCTCTTGGAACTTAGTCCCCCAGTTGAAGACGGTGCTCTCTCCAGCGTGGAGCTTGGGATAAGTAGTTCCATCCCGGGGGAGACTCCCTTATTCGTCATTCCTCCAAGGTTTGTTGTAGTGCTCAGTCTACCACTCAAGGCGCGCCGGATATCATCCGCTGACCTAAGTAAGATAAACAATGTGTTTGAAAATGGCAGTTATAGAAATGGAAATATCACTCCACTTTTGAACCATACGTTTATGATAAGATCTCGTCAATTGGACGTTTTACCTAATTTCTTGCCAAAAATGATGAAATGTCCGTTGGGAAAAATAATTATTTCGCACTAAGAATTAAATTGAAAGCCAAAAAAATTGAAAGGTGCTTTTAACACGATACTTAGTTTTTGCAACAAAAAGTTGAAAACTAGTTCACGCAGAAAACGGTAGAGGTGGCGAGATCTTTCCTAGTAAAGAAGTAGAACTGAAAATTATTTCGAAGGAAATGGAGAAATATGCATAAAAAAATGAAATTTAACAATCCACAGACACTTATCAAATCGATTTGCTATGAAAGTGTATGTATCCCTTCTGCTTGTACAAAAAAGAGAGCTCGTGCTGGAATCTTCGAAGAAAAAAACATTTCGTCGATTGCCCTCATTTGGCGATGAATTGATCGAGACCACTAATCTTGTTCAAAACTCTTATCAATTGTTATCTACGCCTATCCTTAAAAAGGAAAGTAACAGTTATATTACGCCATCTTTTGTGCAGATTAAAATAGACGAGATTGAGCTCTATACTTACATTTTGTAAGTGACTTTCGCAACACCTTGTTACAGTCCAAAAAATGAGTAACTTTCCCTTTTCGTAGTTGCCCAGGGGTATAGTAAATCTTTAAATATTTATAAGGCATTGCTTTTCTTAACTTGGAATTAATCGCTTTTTTCAGCACAGAGTATGTCTATACGGTATGACAATTGTCGATACATTTTGAGCACCACAATTATTGGGACGGCGCGAAGAAAATTGATTTGCGCACGAACATCGATATATCCTAGCCTCTGAAAACGTAACTGAAGATATAAAGAAGATAAAGCTTAAACAATTTGCAAAGAAGCATCTGTCGCAATCAGAATAACTAAAATACAGTAATTACTTCGTTCTGGGCGCGCTTTTAAACTACATAAAGATCTCATAACTCAGTGTCTTGATTATTACAAACGTTATTAGATATGCTCCTATATTTAAACTGATAAAAACCCTTATGAGTGAAATTCAAAATTTGGAAAATAGAAATGGTAATTTTCTCTGGCGGCGAAGATGAAACGTGATGTTTGAATTATGGGTAAGCATAAGTTTTAATAAGTTTGTCACTCCACTGGAGGTTGGCTAAAAAGCAAACAATCCAGATTTGAAAATCACCTCGGCGGTGTCTCAGGTAAAGTGCAGATGCTTTCTACAAAAGATAGATAAATACCGACAGCCTTAAATGCGATCTTTGTGAACTATCACCCTGAAATCTACTTTAAGTCGACGAACGGGAATTTCGCCAGGCGTTATTGTTATGCAAAGTTGGTTCTCAACTCTTCGACATTAATTTTTCAGCGTTGGGAATCAAATTTGTAACCTTCTCGAGCCTGTCTTACATGGGGCAATACATGAGCCGCGATGGGGTTTCTTTCAAATGTGGCTTTTGTCCAAGAAATCAGAATTTTTTCCATCAAAACCTTTTACCATATTTTTCGGCGTCCTTTTGAACGAAATGTCTGCATTTTGAGTATAACCTTGTATTTTGATGTTACCAGGCTACAATAGAATAACCTTCATGAATATCGTAAACAATCGAATGTTTTACTGAAAATATGATTTATTAAACTCGATATATCAAATTAAAAATGTCTCAACGAGGCGTCATGTAATTTCAAGAACACAAACGAAAGCTTTAAAATCAAACCCTATATAAAAGACCACCACTTTTTGATAACCGATAACTTTGAGATAGCAAAATCTCTTACCAAGCAGGTTTCCATCAATGTTTCCTTCCTCCGCAGTGAACTCCTTAATGTCAGAACGCCCGGGGATATTGGCAAAAGCGATGAATGTTTGACATATTTGTCTGCCGCCTATCATTTCTATGTTATGGTTTTCAAGAGCTCCGACTTGTAATAGTGGGTTTTGAATATTGACACATGCTGTATTTGGTATTTTTATGGTAAAGACCTGCACCGCAACCTGATTTCTATAAATCGTATTGTGTCTAAAAATGTATATAACAAAAATAATGTTATGAAAATTATTTGATAACTTTATTCTATCAGTTGAAAGGTGAAGACATTTTGAAGAGCAAAGCAAATACAATATTATTTTTAAACGACGCATGTCTTTGTTCTAAATCGACCGCTCAACATCAACGACTTCTAAAAATTCACATTTAAAAGACCCATTGATAGAGCATATCTTATAGCCTCCGAGTATGTAGCTAATGCGCGAGCAATCATCGGTTTTTCTTCTCCAAAATGTGCTACAATCAAGTTGAACTACCAAGCGAATGCGATACAAGCATGAGAAGTTAAAAAATATGATATTTTAAAAAGGGCTAAAATAAATTCGGTAGCGTAAGCATTTAAGACCAATTACAACTTAGATAAAATTTAACACAATCGCTATTATTTAAAATTTTACATTTTGAACGGCGGCGTGCATTAAACAAGGTGAAATTTCACACCCACTTATTTGACACGCAACCCACAATTTCGTTTGAAATCAGAAAATTACTTACTGCGTTTTTCGACTACTGCCTAAAGCACTCGGCATCTTTCAAGTGTTGACGTAGACCTGCGAACGAACGAAAGGCTTTAAAATACAACAAATCATAATGTCGAAAACAGCCATCAAAGTACAGAATGGCTTCGACTGAAAACTCACTCAGTCAGCAGTCTTCTGTCAGGTGCAGTTATTAATCAGTAGGCACCCTGTGTTTAATGCACAATAATTTCTGATGTATTTCCTAATCTCATTATATGTAAATTTGTAATCGAGCTTCGTGCATCACGTACGAGTAGTTTTTCAGGTTTAGCGGTTACATTATAAAAGGTTCTATTTGGACCAGTTTTAGTTTAGAGCAAAGTTCGTTCCTTCATTTCAACGGCTTTTCTTATTATCAAGGATTTGCGAGCTATTTAATTTCGTCTGAACACGCTGTTAATTCAAACAAACGAGATGGTAACAACATCTGCATTAATCAGAGCTTACGTTGTGAGGAGAAATTTTAGCAAAACAAAAGTAATCCCTTTCCCATCTAGTTGAAAAACATTTCACAGTTAGTTAAAATCGCTAATTCTACCAAATCCCTTAGCTATGAACGATACCGGTTTGTCGCTTCGTCGTTTTCCTTGAAATGTTCATTATCATTTCCCTATAATGAAACTTTATTGATGTTTTTTATGGAAGTAAAGTTTTGATTACCATAAATGGGCCTATGTTGATAATAAAAAAATCCCAATCCCTTGTCATTAAAGTTGTATGAACTGGTGCTTTATGAGTTTTAATAAGTCGCTAAATAATAGTGAGTGGCTTATTCTCCGGGCAAACCTGTCTTCTTTCTAATTCTGAATTGTTTTGATCAGTTGTAGAAGGTTCTGGCAAAAAAACATCCATTCTTGAAAGGTGCCCGAGGTCAGAGGTGATGTCAGTAGACATGCAATGAGGCAAGAATTAGCGCACTTTTTTTTCTATATCGTAACACAGGGATAAGGAACTGAGACGCGGCCAACTTGCGGCAACTTTGCGGCTAAAAGTAAAATCTTGAAAGGAGCATTAGATTTTATAACAGGACAGGACCTTGCATGCCTGAAATTATGCCTTTGCTGCTGTTGTTTTTAATAAAAACAACATGCGAATGAGGAACTGTAATGACAGGGAGGAATTCTCCATTTTACACTAGGGAAATAAGATTCTCGATAAACTGTCGCCGTGAGTGCCTGAGAATTTGCCCCACTGAATGAAAGGAATATTAAATGGGATGCTGAATGTGATATTGAACACCGGAATAATGGATACAAAACGTTATACTAAATTGAGCTCCGATGGGATTGGCTTGGAACAGTGGCCAGCTTCTTCTTTCAGGACCTTCAAAATCGCAGTGATAAAAGAGGAGAACTATCCATCATTACTCTTAATTTTTCATTTATGTTTATAAAACTCCTGAGCACGCTATGAATGGCAGTACAAGGGCTTCATCCGTAGGTTTTTTCATTACATCTGGTATGGTCTACAAAAGTTGGTTATCGGTGGTATACCGTCGGTTATATAAAAATATATTTTACAGTTATTACTCGATGTATTTTTTGCATTAATAGCCGTGTCCCCACCACGTGACCTACCGATAACTGTTTACAAACATTGGTCTACTCATGCCTTCACCTCTTTCCTTCAAAGGTGTTTTAATGCTAATATTAGTAATATTATGCTCATGCATGTATTTCATTGTCTGATCTTTCCTCTAAGAAACAGATCGCTTCTCTGCAGCTGTCGGTCGGCGATTTTCCCTAAAGTAATCGTGAAAAACAAACTCGAGGGTCGAACGGCAAAATTATGCATTTAACTCAGAAATTTATGATTGGCCCAACTTTGTTCAACAATTGTTCATTACGGCAATTGGAAGTTTTTAAAACTTTCATCAGCAGGCAGTTAGATGGATAAAAAAGCCCGTCGTCGAGATTTCATTGCTTTTCCGTAATTTTCCTATTGTCTTCTCTTAGGGATTTATCAAAACTCTCCACACTTGACATCAAGAGCCCTCGGCGTATCCTACGCACCCTCTGGCCTAATGACATCTCAGATAAAGATCTCTTTGAATGGTGTGGAACTGAACCAATGGCTTCCATCCTGCTGAGGAGATGCTGGTTCCAGATTGAGTAATTTTGTGTGCATTGCTGGCTAAATTTCATCTTTTGTTTGCGACTGAAAAAGGCTACCATCATACACTAACGTAGCTACAAAGTAATTTGCCCTTTAGCCGATGAAAAAAAAACCGTTTGAGCCGCAAGTCCACGTGCTTGGCACGTGTGTTTACATTTCAATTTTACTGGCTCGTTCGAAGCGATTGCCTACTGCCAATATAAAACTCTTTAAAAAATGACTGTAAAATGGTGTGAATATAGGCAACATACAAATGAACTTACATTTAACTGAAATATTTGTAAAAATCTAAATATTAAAAAAGCTTCTTCAGCATGAAGTATGATAAAGGCAAATGTTAAAAATTTTAGCAAGACAAAATTGAACTTAATTACCTCAGTTTTTTTCCATCACCTTTACATTGTCTCTTTTACTCGTGAAGGCCTCATATTAAAATAACTGACGCCTTGATACTAAAATTCTTTAACTGCAATTAAATCCGTTCAGCATTTTATTTAGTTTCACAGCCATTTCCCACAAGCGAACAATTCCTTTGTTAACTTATTTAAGTAAATCTAGGTTTGAATCCCAAAAGATTCACCAACAATATGCGACAATGCGCACAAATAATTTTCAGAACCGGAAACTGCGTTGCATCTTTTTAATTGAAAAATGAGACTTCGCTGACAAAAGGTTTTCACGGAGAATATATCCAGCAAAGTAGGCTAAGGTTTGCATTCAATCTACTGATTTGCCGTGTTAAGTCGGAATTGGAGACTAATTTCAGACGAATGCCGCCATCAATTAAGATTGTAAAGATTGAAATTTTGGACTCCGTTCAACCGTTGTGAAAGGTAAATTCATAACTTTAACACGACGCCATTCATAAATCGAACGTTATTCAAGCCATGTTGTTTATTTTTATGTCACCTTTCACCATGGTATTTCATGTCTTGGGAAATTATTTCCAAGTCGACAGAAAACACAGCGGAGGCTGATCAGCATGTTGTAACCGATTTCAATCACAAGAGGAAAATCTCTCAGAATCTTTCAATTCGCCACCGAGTTAACTGAAATAATCATTGGCAACAACCATTCATGTTAAGATCCTACTATGATTCTTGTACAAATTATTATTGTGATTATGCGAAATTATTGTTGAGGCCGGAATATCTCAGGGTGAGTTTTCAATTACATAAGTACTCTGATTTTCAAATATTTGAGTTCCGAGCAAATAAAGAAAGATTGTGTACTTTCTAAAAACATTTTTAACAATGCAGAGATTGTTTCTAAGATAGTTTGCTTAGTTAAAACCCTGTGCATTAAAGGACACCTAAATTCGTCTGTATTTCATGGCATGTCTGGCGTCGACAAGCGAGGAAATTCTTATCATTTGTAAACTAAATACTATTGATTAACACCATTTTAAAAACATGCCAAAAAAACCCTAGTATTGATTAGGTTGGCATCGGACTGCAAAAGAGACTGATGTATAGCAGAAGCTTCAAAAAAATTTCGATCGAAATTTTTCAAATGAAAATTTTACTTCAATTTAAGTATCAACCTTTGTTGTAAAATCACGCCGCGGAAATTTAAAAATGACTCTAAACGTTGAGTTATATTTTTCGAAAGAATTAGAGCTCGAATTTTTCTTACGATGCATTCAAAGATGAAATGAATCAAATTCTTAAAAGCGAACATAACGAAAGTTAATACCGAATGAAGGTGCTCGCCTACGCATAACAATAATTCTATACTTGAGTTAGTTTACTTACCCTTTCAAATAGAACTTCTCGCAGATGTCTTCCCTCGCGCAATCGCTGCAACGCACATTCCACAAATTTTGTCTCAAAAAGCAGTTCTATTTAAACCGTATTTTACTGGACAAACACAAGGATTTTTAACGCCCTCGTTTCTTTGAGGTTTATTTGTACTAAAATGAAGTCTTAAATTTCGAAAACGCTCTATTTTCTTCCTCGGTTAGCGAAACACCTGTCAGTTTGGGATTTGTTTTTGGTTTTGAGGTAAATGGTACGTTGTAATTGGCCGCTACACACTAGAGCTCTTGAAAAGAACTCGAAGGATCTAATTAGGAACACACAAGATAAGCGAGTCTTTTGTTCATCTTTTAATTTCCCATTTAGCAATCAGCAAGATATTTAGATTCAGACTCATAAAAAATATCTGAGGTTCTTTCGTTAAATCTGCCGCATCTTTTTTGTGGTCCATTTGCACCTTTCGCTAAAGCCTCAATGCGCTTGCGCTTCGCGATTTCCATGTTGGTGTTAATGGTTCGCTTCGCAAAGCATAAAAGGACTTAATCGTTCTTGATTTACATGTAGGTTAAGTAAGTTAAAATTTGAAGCGCGAAGATAGATGAAAAATGTTTCACCGCGTTAATTTCTGGTTTCAAACTCACCTAAAGTACAGCATCTATGGTAAACTTTACTGTATCACATGAACATATTTCTTTTTGAGTAATTCGAAATTAAAAGGCGTTGCACAGCGAGACTTCTAGCAGCTGTTACAAACCGAATTAAGTGTTTGGATTTGACTTAACGCAAGAAGTATTCCTAAACGTGGCAATTGTTCCCTAGTATTTTGTTCAATCGTCGCAATGACTCGTTTATTTTCGATAAAACTTTCATTATTTCGACGATAAAAAGTAAGGTACGCACTCTTAAATAATTTGTCACTGGCAAGCCTTCTGTCGGAGTGAAGCGAGTTGTTTAATTATAGATGACCCAAAAGTTTGAATAATAATCTGCAGAGGTTTAAAAACAGCCCCCCGACTTCGCGGCTTTATAAGGACGCATACGTGGGAGAGGCTCCTTACCACGGACTCTCGGTCGAGAATTTAGGATTCGAATTCTGGCTGCGTAATTTCGTTGTACTTTTAGGCAAGACACATTACTCTCGCAGAGCATCTTGCTCAACCATAGCGACCGGTGAATTATTAGGCAAATGTCACGAAATGCATGAGGGTAACCTGTTATGAATCAGAAGACTAGCAATCGTATCTCATTAGACGAGAGTAAGATAATAAGGCAGTCGCGTCACGCGACACGTGAATTGAGCTTACTCAACACTGACAGGCCACTAACCTCGAAAGCCAACTTTACCTTCTTTTAATTAAGCTAAGTAAGATTAAAAGATTGCTTCTCCTTACCATATCAGTACAATGTCATGAAATGAAGCAGATGGCGGCGGGAACACGCAGGGACGAGGCATTTCAAAATCGATACCTGCTTACTTAATCAAAATTCACGAAACATTTTAACGCTGGAATGACCCCTAAATTTTTCTTTACAATGGTTATTACGCTAGAGTTAAAAATGATAAATAAGTTTCTCTGCCTAAGAGGAATTTAAATTAAATTCTAAAATCCGGTAGTGGCATATAGCTCCTAAATTTCAGTACTGGATCCCGAAAAAACAGCCGTAATTTTCAAAAGAAATTTCTACGTCTTGTATAAATATATTTCATGTGGTACTTTTAGATTGATTTTGTTGCTGCTGATAATTCATGGCTCCTATATGTGAACCCATGGACTCGAATACTCCACGAGATTTTACGTACCTCTGTGAGGGTTTTAAAGATCTTAGCCGTAGCTTGGAAACTCACTTGCATATGGCAAGGTAAATTTAAAAAAAGTAACAAATCAGTCACAGGCCTTTCATATACATGTATAAGATAAAAGCTCTCGTTTTCGGAGCGGGTAGCTGCAATAAGTAGTTGTAAAGACTGCTGCTTTCAGTCTACTCCATCAGTAGCTGAGAAGCATTCAGTGGTATCGGTGGTGGTTCTCGTTCAACAGCTATCACTTAAGGTGATTTGGCCTGTGCTCTGCAGTCAAGAATGTTTTCGATGGGTTCTAGCAGTATGCAGGACGCTCATCACGCATTGTAATAATACTAACTGACCAATGTTGATAATGAGAATTTAGTGGTGGAATCTCCACAAGGTGGCTCTTCTTATACACTGCTTTTCAGGTTGAATTGGAATTTGGAGTTTTGGTCTTTTCGGAGGGAGGGAAACCCTCGGGCCCGGGAAAAAACCCTTGGAGCAAGGGCAAGAGCCAATAACAAAATCAACCGACTTGTGACGTTAGGTCTGGGAATCGAGCCAAGTCATAGGGGTTAGGGGTAAGCGCTGTTACCACTCACCATTTCCGCTCCCCGTATAAACTTAGATTATGGTCTGAATCGCCCACGAGTTTTTGTTACCCAGCAGTTGGTTGAAGATCGAAATAAATGAATGAATAATGAAGAAAGAATGACTCGAATGACAGAAGGCAATTTTTACTTTACTAAGAGATTGCATTCAACAGATAGATGCTATGTTGCCGTGCGTCTGTTCAGTAGTAGATCACAGATGATATCACAATGTAGTAAGACGTGAGTGTCGCACTGGGCTGCGCCTTGTGTGCCATTTTTTTATTCTTGCTACGTGTTGACGTCATCAGTCATCTGTTATTGGACAGAAGCACGGCGACCTGGAATTTATTTGTTAGTCATACCTGAATTTTGATTGGTTTTTACTTCTGACATAGGGGAGACAGCAGCATACGTGGTAAGAACAAAAAAGTGGTGACGTTTTTACCACGTTTTGACGCCATCTGTGATATATTACTGAACTGCCACACGGTAACATTGATTTTATTGGTTTCATATGATAAAAAAGCAAAATGTTGTTAATGGTCAGTGACGTCATCGATGCGTCTGTCCTCCGGTAGATCATAAGTAAGGAACAATCATAAAGCTTGCAAATTCAGCTTATCATGTAAAGTTTGCAAATTCAGCTTATCATGTAAAGTTTGCAAATTCAGCTTATCATGTAAAGTTTGCAAATTCAGCTTATCATGTAAAGTTTGCAAATTCAGCTTATCATGTAAAGTTTGCAAATTCAGCTTATCATGTAAAGCTTGCAAATTCAGCTTATCATGTAAAGCTTGCAAATTCAGCTTATCATGCGAAGTTTTACTGATAACGTCGCAGTGTCAATCATTGGTACGGATAAGAGTCCTTTTCGGGACTGCCCTCCCTATATATAACAGCAATATCAAACAAATATGATAAATTCCAGTTCCACATCTTAACTTACAAGAAACACCCTAATAAGGTAAAGACGTTACGGAGCAGGCATTATTTATTTATCACCTTGGAAGAGGGGGTAGGAATTTTTCTTTGAGGGAGGGGGGGTCACATACTTTCAGATGGAACGGACGGGAGGGGGGGGCGAAATACGAATATTACAGAGCCTATGGGAAGATAAGGAAAATTTTGTCGTAACAAAACCAAATTCCTTCAAACCCCCATCTTCCCCTCCCCCCCCCCCCCGTGATGACCTGTCCTTAACCTTTAACTCCCAAGATCTGATTGGTAGTTCTCCCCTCTAGCTGCAACACGTATCCTTGTAATTTAGTCATGAGAATTTGATGCTAGATCAAGACATCAATTTCTACCTGGTAAGTTTGAATATTCTCATTAGCTGTTTGCTGGATCGATGATGCAAGGAGATTGTAGGGAGAAGTTTCATGTTGATCACTTGTGGGAGTTAAAGAGTTGATGATATTAGTTGCCCATTCGCCTGCGGACCGTCGGCTCTTTTTTTGTATCTCACCACTTTCTCACGCCTTCTGCGTGTCATCTGTAAGCAAACAGAAAGACGAGTAAATGAATTCTATTTTTCCACAAAAATTATCCAAGTAGACATAAATAATATTGTAGTTTATGTCGATTGTTTTTAACCTGATTTCCTGACTTGGTAGACTGAGTGACCACTTGCCCAGTACGCGATGGATATAAATACAATTTTATTTTGCCTTATAGGAGAGGATTGAAGTTGCCAGGCTTACCCTCGCATTTCTCAGAATTGAATATTATACTGCACTAAGGCTCATACAAACTCTTCTTTATTGTAATTTGTTACAGCACGAGGCTATTCCAAACATTGCTTTATTACGGAGGTCTAAGTCGAGATTGAGACATCTATGATAGAGAGTGATGAGGGTAAAGCACTATAAGATTCCAATTAAAAGACTGAAACAAAACACATATTTTTTTTTTAGAAAAACAGGAAGAAACAACGGCATTGCCTAATAATGAAAATATTAAAAAGACTGTTAAATGCAAGGGTTAGTCTTGTGTATTACTCTTGAACACAAGTGCTGTTTGCCTCTATTTCACTTTTTCTTCCTTTTAGGCGAGTCATTCAACGCAAAATCTGACTCAAAATTAATTTTCTTTCTTTCTCGCAGCATGCCCCTAGGGCTCGTCCCTTCTTTATGACCAACGATTGCGAGTTGAAATGCACATAATGCATTTCTCCCCTACAAAGAAAACTTTTCTTTCTTTGTTTATTTTATGGTAGGGTTTTTGATGTATGCAGTGTTTGCTCTCTTCAGTTCATCCACAACATTAAGTCTATAATATTCCTTTCAATTTTTTTTGACTGAATAGCATGCAACATCGATATTCTTATAGTGGTTCCGGGAGTTCGTGCGAAAAAAGAAAATTGCAAATTTATCAACGTTTTTCCGTAATGAAGACAACAGGAAAACTATCCCTTAATTCTTGAAATTTTGATATTATCGAACGTTATATTAAGGAACCATTTTAATTCCTTTTAAATTTATCTTGCGCAATATTACAACTAGTTCCTGTCACATTGGTTTATTTCATGTTTTTTGTTTTTTATTCAAACCTGTCACGTAAAGTTATCATGTTAGTCTTTTGTAGTGTAGCTAGTTACGTAAAGTTCGTTTTATATGTCCGATTGTTGATCTTTGTACATTAGTTAAGATGGCAGAGAAGCACGTACGGAAATGTACTGTTTCATTAAGTTTTTGATTCGTAGAGTTTAAACGTTTGCTTCATGACACTCTTGACGC